CTGGTCTGTGAGGTCACACCAACTACTTTTTGTTGGTGGGGGGGACCTACCAACTCTCAAAATTACATCCGGCGGGGCGGGGTGGCTGGCTGGGGAATTCTGGGAGTTGAAGTCCACCCATCTTAAAGTGGCTGAGGTTGAGGAACTCTGCCCTGGAGGGCCTTCAGTTGGGGAACTTGTGGAACAGGGAAACACTGGGCTTTTTTTTTTTTTTTACAAGTTCACTGGTGAAGGGTTCAAAGGCTGGGCTTTCTTTTTATTTTACACATTCATTGATGAAGTACAATGAAGGAGAGTTCTTTGTTTCTTAAACTAGGTGAAATGGATGAGAATTCTGCCCATCTTGCTTTCGACCCCGAGATCATGCTTCTGAAGTCATCTCAGCATGCATCCAGCTTTAGTGTATTTTTTTTTACTCTTAATTCATATAGATATAATCATAACAGGCTGAGTGGATAGAAATGTACATTGTGCTTGTGAAAATAAAGCAGACATTTCTGTGCTGTCATTTCAATAATCCTAAAAATTGTCAAGAAACACACTTACCTTACACTTCCTATGATCTATGTTACCAGAGTGCAGGCACAATCCTAAAGCAGCAGTTGTAGCCTATGTATCTTTACCTACATTTATTCCTTCATGTGTATTTTTTTATATTTTCCACTGCTTATTACTACAGTACAAAAAAGAGAAATACTAAAAAAACAGGAAAAAAACAGAAAATAACAAAACCATATTACATATATTTAAAATCCAAGTTATAAATGCATCATTAAACCTTTACCACAGGAAATAATATTGGCAAGTCTTTAAATTGCATTGTTAAAGAGCCAGTTCCTAATGCAAAGTGGATACATATTGACAATCCAAGATTGTAAATCTGGAATCAAACTCTCTTTCCAACATTGAAGTGTGTGTGTGTGTGTATATATATATATATATATATATATGATTCCAAATGAATCATAGCCAATCGTTCCTTGTGACATTCAAACAAATAAAAAAATGCCAAAAATTAGCTACAGATTATGAAAATTGATCTAACTAATTTGGAACACTTGTTATCAATACTGTTGGTACTATAATAGGAGCTTTGAATGGGTTGTAGAATGTTTCATTGATTGATTAAATAAGCATTTTACTAAACCTCAATAATAATGACATTCTGAAAAATGTAACGGTAATTTACAGTTTAGTAAACAAAAGCTAGCAAGTTAGGACGTGTAGTATTTTTCTTTTTCTATTACAGTAATATACGGTAATTATAAATATTCTACATGTATCATTTTCTGTTTATAACATAATCTAATCTCTCTACATCATTAACTTGAAAAATGCATTAAGGATGAGAATTTTAATGGGTAAAGATTAATAACAGGCTGTCTGTAATAATAGCATGTTAATTTAGTATTTTATGTATTTTCATGCAGATATTTTTCTTTACTGTTGAAAAGTAAAGATTGAATGCTACTGTGCAAGGAAACGATCATGAGTACCAGTAAGTTCATTGTTTGAAAGTCTGATAATGTTTATAATAAATGTGCTCACACTAAATATTTTCTAAGTAGTAAAAAGTCTTGCAATTAAGTTCTGATTTCGGTAACATGTTTCACTCTCCTGTCTCGTATTCCATGAAAATCTGCCTGAGAGAGTGGAAAGTTAACTGGAAAGTTTTTTTAAAAAAAACCCCCCCCCCCCCCCCCCCCAATTTCATCTGCACATTTTCTACTACACTACATCCTAATCCCTTCCATAAGTGAAATAACATTTTTGAACCGACCCATGGGTGTGTTTTCACATACGCACTGAGAATGTACTTTGAGAACCTATATGCTAAGCTAATGGAACGATTATATACACCAACATAGGCAGTTTTTTTTCCCCAGTAGGAGGCTATTGGCTTTTTCTTATTTGTAATCAGATTTCAATACTTGGGTACAAAATTATTGTACAAAGTAGCTAGAGGTATGTGCTATTAGTTAAATATGGTGGCTGCAAGACCCATCTATTTATTTATTGGATTTGTACCTTCCACTGTCAAAAGACTGCATGTCACAGTTTAGTCATGAGAATGGTACAGTAAAACATACATATTGTAGTATAAAATTTAAAACAATGGCAACAAAGCCCCATTCATAACATGTCAATAATAGCATCTGAATCTTTAAAGGCTGTTGAAATAATTTAGCTTTTAATAGCTGACATGGGGGCCAATGAAATCTCCATGGGGAAACTATTCTATAACGCAGACGTGCCCACAGAATAATAGTGCCTGCATGCCTCAGCCCCCTTACTGCAACAGTTAAGAATCAGTAAGTTCCTTCCCAGATGCACAGATAGAACAAGTCAAATCATGCTTGGTCCTGTTAACTTAGTGCCAAGCTATATGGCACTTTATAATTGTACCAAGAAATCAACAGAAAGCCATTGCAGAGTCAAAAGTGTATAGTAATGCTGTTACCAACATATGCCAGCCAGTATTTGGACCACTGCATTCTGGACTAGTTATAGCTTCTAAATGGTCTTGGACAGCTACTTGTTGAACACATTGTAGTGATCCACATTAATCACCATTACATGGTCCTCCCACTCCAGGTAGGCCTGCAGCTGGCACAATAATCAGAGCTGCTGCTACTGCCTCCACCTGTCTGTCTGCCATCTGAGTCAAGGAAGACCCCCAGATCATGGACCCATTCTCATAGGGATATTGCCACCTCGTTGGGAGACCACACTGGGGCTGACAGAACTCCTTGATGTACAAACATAACTCTGTTCTTTGAATTTTTTGTCGCTTCTGGTCCCTAATAGCCCCCAGGATGCCAGGAGAAGCCATTAACAGCATCTCCTGCATGACCCAGGGTTGCAGTGTATAGTTGCCGATAATACCATACCTGGTACAGATGAATGATCCATCAGCTTCATGTAACGAAAACCAGCTGAAAGAAGACCAAACCCTGTGGAACTCTATATGGGAGCAATCACCAGGCCAATCTCTCCTTCCACTGCCCAACTGGAATCACACACTAAAGAAAGAACATAACCATTATAAAACAGTGCCTTCAATCCCCAACCCTTTCAGATGGTCCAGAAAGATGCCACACAAAATGTTATAGGAGGCTACCAAAAGATCTAAAAGATCCAGGAGTGATACACTACCCTCATACAGGTTCCAAAAAAAGGTCATCCATAAGAGTGACCAATGTTGTCTCATTCCATGTCCAGTCCTGAATTCTGACTGAAAGGGTCCTAATAATCTGCTTCCTCTAGTATGTTCTTTAAATGTGCTGCAGTCATAGCCTCAGTAACTTTCCCAAGAAGGGAAGGTTAGAGACAGGATGCTAGTTGCCAGGCACAGAAGGCTTTCAGCATCACCCTCTTCTGAAGCCAGGTATTGAGAATTTCCTAGTTCCAGATCATCACACACCTCTGGTTCTCAAACAGCCAAGAGGGGCATGGATCCAACCTACAAATGACCAGAAATGGGCCAGAGAGCTCACTAACAGGGCACTTAACAGAGAGAGGGACTGCTTGGAAGCAATCACTGTTTATTTCAATGGCTAATCAGGCACTCAACAGAACTCTGCAAGATCAGTGGGAATCTACCCAAACACCCACTGGAATCCATTTTGATCCATAAGGTGCCTGGGGCAGACCATCTTTATTGGCTTACTCATCCACGGAGGGCAGTTAATCTTCTTTGGACCAGGAAGAGATCTGGCAAAGGGTTGGTAGAAATAACTTCCATATCCAGATTACTAAATACTAAAAAGTCGGGCCCAAGATTACATGGGATAAGCCCATGGTTACTATGGAGACCACGAGCTCTACTTGACCCAGCCTCACTCCCATAAAGGTTGACGTCACCCAACACCAACATGAGAAAGGGTTCCAATATCAGCCTAAGGATCAGGTTAGGCAACTTGGATCTTTATCTTATATAGGGATCCTGCCAGATTGCAGGAGGATCATACACCAGGAGGATCCCCAACTTGCCCCTATAGCCCAACTTAAATACAGGCATTTGGGAAAATAACATCCAACTTTCTTCCAACTCCAGGACTACATTGTGTAATATCTGTTTGTAAATTATCAAGAAAATTCCTCACAATTTATACATTTTAATAAATATAATCTTGCTATTGGATTACTTTGGGAATTTTTCTGGAAAGGTCTAAGTATTTATTGTTAATTGCTTCAGGATCAACCAAGAGAAACTGGGAAGAAAAACTGAAGAACATTGAGGAACTAGCATCTTGCTATAAACGGAGGCCTCTCTCCTCGTGTTACAAGCCCAAATTGTCCAATCCATTGCAACCATCTTCCGTTTGGAAGCTGTTCTATCGGCAGACTCATGCATTTAACTTTGCTAAAACTTGTAAAGAGGTACAGTAGTAATGAATAGGGCAGTGTCTTTGACAATAGGATATCTTGTTAAGTTTAACAATTATAGCATTTTGATCATTTAGAAATTAATTTCTTATTACTGAATTTTATTTATGAAATGCGTCATATTCAAGACACAGAAAAACATAGATTTAGTCTGATTTTACTGTACAAATCCTTGGATATTAAAAAATCTGAACTAGCTAATAAGCTTAGGAAAAGCCACATTTTAATTACATGGTGAAGAAATTATGAAAATTAAAATACACAAAGCCAAGTTGCCACTGTTTCTTTTGAAAGAAGCCAGAAATGGTCAATAAAAATTAAACAAATACCTCCTGTAATGCTGAATGCTGCTGAAACAGGTGAATGCTGCTGACAAAATTGTGGTCAAATCAGCATCACTAAAAAATAAAAGAGGTATAATTATGCTTGGAGAAATTCTAAGATTATTATGATTATCTGGAAGAAGCATGGCTATCCGTAATACTAAGCAGAAACCTACTATACTGGAACATTTAGATACAACAATACACAGTAAATAATAAAAATAAAAATACATATTTAATGAAAGGTTGGTTACACCTGACTTTCCTGTATTGTCACACATAGGAGGAAGTTATAAGCCATCTATGACAGCGGAACTAAATGTCTAGCTTTGGATATTATGACTTTGAGAAAAGTGTATGTATGTATGTATGTATGTGTGTGTATATATATGTATGTATGTATGTATGTAATTAATGTTATTTCAAAAGGATGTTCACGTATTTGCTTTGGAAAAGTGCGATGAAAATAATCAACGACTGTATCTTGTGACAACTTATACAGAGCTTTGGTTTTACTACAGGTATGTACCTGAACATTGAGAACAGAATTCTTTATATAGCCTATATTGATGCACATTCTGTTTAGCAAAATTTATTCCAAAATACATTTGTGTAGAATTGCATTGATTTATTTATTTTTCCCATTATTACAAGACGTAATAATGAATTTTATCAGACTTTTAAACTTAAATTCAGACTAGCCAGCTCTTTGCTGTGATGCTGATCACATCTATGCATTTATTAATCTTCTTGCATTAAACCTCTAAACAGCTTCTTGAAGGATTTAAAAAGCACTGGGAGGATTCTGTGGTAAGGACAGTAAAAAATGTGGATGCCTGAACCACTTTTAAATCTTCACTCCCAAACATTTTGGCTTATGTAGTACCTTGCATTTGGGACACCTGTGGTTTTATGTTATGGTAGTCCTTTCAGAATGAGAAATGCATGCAGTACACACAACAAAGCCAGGATAAAACTAAATGTGATGTAATACATTAAAATTAAGTAAATACAATTAATATGACTTCTTCCCATGCATTTAATGATTTTCCCTTTCAATATCATTTGACAGTTTTGAAGGGCTTCTGGGGATTATATCTAAGAATCTGAATGGCTAGAGATCATGTGCTCTTGATATAGTGACCCATGAATGTCTGCCTAAATATGCACCTTGTATTTGGTAGTTCCCTGCTTGAAATGTTGTGGTTTTCTTCAGTTGTTAGGTATGAAACAAAACAAACATGTAGATTAAAATCTTGTATAAAATATCTCATATAACATTTCTGCAACATTAGTACAATTCTACATGCATGCACTACAGTGGGGCAAAAAAGTATTTAGTCAGCCACCAATTGTGCAAGTTCTCCCACTTAAAAAGA